TAATTAATACAATATAGTGCAAGTGTGTATCTATATTGTATATATGCACTACAATAAAATATTTTCCATCCAGTCTGCCTGTACTTACATTTTAAACAGCTAGGGTGTATTTTATATTTTTATATCTAGAAATATATCTATAAATACATGTTGATATATTTAAACAGCACTCTAGTAACTCTATTACCTACACTTAGCTTCCAGGAAAATAAAACCTTTGGCAATGCACTGCAAGGTAATGATGTGGGGGGCCACAGTGACACTCACCCCTCGTCTCCTATCCATAATTTCAAAGATCATCACTATTCTCAGACTGCATGTGACAGAAAAATAGGAAGGAAAGGTCAGGAAAATGTCAGAAACCAAGTTCAAATTTGAAGACAAGTCCATGGTGTGCAATGAGGAAGGTCACAAGCCTCTATTTCTCTTTGTAGTGGTAACTGCCTAGGATCAACACATTCTTCTTCTGCTTCTGCTGCTGCTCATCCAAGCCATGAGAATTCAGTTTAGTGCAACTACCTCTGGACATTGGCAGATTACTTGGTCCTCAACCACAGCAAGAAACAAGCCTTCTTTTGATATCAGCAGAAAAACTGGATCTAGACCACAGATTCACTCCTGCACAGATAAGTTTGGCCACAGGCTACTAGAGAAGTTCCTGGCCTCCTGCAGATTTCTAATTCTTCAAGAGAGATCTATACACGTATCAGCTACAGGCCAAGATGAGAAAAACTGTGTATCTTGTTTTTCAAATATTTCTGAGACTCTCCCAGAGGACATCTATTTAACATCAAAACCAGTAAACTGTTTAAGAAAAAAAACCCACAAAAAAAGAAGACAGCTACTTACAGCTACCCATGCCTTTTAAAGGAATGCCAGTGCCACAAGCAGAAATTCTTACATTCCAGTGATTCTATGCAAGTAAACCTACTTATTTGGGAGGCAATCTTCAAAGTGGACATAGAATGAGCATTATCAACTCATTCTATGAAAAAGGAAGTTCTGAATTTCATAACTTAGTGACATAGCTCAGGAAGTAAGCAACAAGAAGCATTTCAACACATACTAACAGCAGATTGTGTGAGTGGGCACCTATGTCAAAGGAAATGTGACTTTAGAATTTCTCCTTAAAAAGAAAAAAAAAATCCTTACACACTGGGAATTGTTTGTCCCAGTGCCATCAAGAATAGTTATTTTCTTTTCTACATTATGGAAGCTATATTCTAATCTCACCTTTAAGGCCTTTTGGGAACCCTCACTTCTAAAGAAAATAATGAGCAGCTCTGGCTATGCAGAATGTCTGTTACTCTGTAGAAGAGCAGTCCTGTATTTTAGTTTGTTAAGAAGTGGAAACACAATAAGTTGAGAGAAAGGATTTCTATGAGTTACTTTCACTTGTAGCCTCACTATTCTTTTGACAGTAATAAACTGTCTAGTAGTAAGTTATTATTTTCCTGTAGCAGGAAACTTGTAAACAAGACAGGTCTTGTAATTTGCTCCTCCATTTTTGCTTCTCATCATTGTGATCTTTACACCCAACTCCAGCAGGAGGCCTCCAACCCTTCTACTGCCACACATTTGCACCATGCAAAATTCAGCAGAAACAAGCATGCCCTGACTGCAAAAAGCTCCTGACTCCTTTCTGCATTGACTGTTACATTATTGAAATTATATGAGAGAATTTTCAGGCAAAAGAAAAAGACTTGATAATTTCCACCACGCCTCAATTAAAAACAAACAAACAAAAAAACCCAAACAAACAAATAAAAACAACAACACCAACAAAAAACTTCTTAAGATACAGTCCCATAGCATCAGGCGTGGATGATGCCAGCAGCTCTCTAGACAGCTGGACACACCTGTCACAGCACCCACTCCATGCAGCTTCTTCAGAAGTCCATTCCTCAATTTGATTTTTTTTTTTAAAGCAGGAGGAGCGAAGAGTTCTAACAAAAAGGGGAGTCTGTGTCTGCTATACTATTGTTTCAAGAAGAGCGACAACTTGCACATCAGTAAAATTATATTTAATGATCAATAGGAATTCTATAAATACACAAGCTGAAGACATAACAGGAGACTACATAGTGAAACACCCAGCCCTGAAGCAAAATTGGCATGCCTAACCCATCCTGGGAAGATAAATTTGAGAAAACTACCTCATCAGAAGTATGAACTATACACTCTCAGCTTAATAGGAGAGAAAGAAGAACACAGTACTTTTTAATAGTTCTTCAGTTGAAAGCTGTCTGATGCTACCAGTGTAAATCAACCACTCTCATTTTCTCCTAACTACCAGCAAGGCAAAGATGCTCAGCATTCTCATGAAAAAATGGAGCTTAAGCATCATCATCTCCCAATACTGTCCCCTATTTCACCCAGAAACCCTCCTGACCCTTTCATTCAAGCTCTGATTCTATAATTTGAAAGCTCAGTATTAATTATAATGATCTTTTTGGTCATATTACTTCTAGCAACCTCCTGCAGAAACAACAATAACAGCAGAAACATTAAATTTTCACACTCTTTCTTCTGAAAATTTCAGGTTATAGAAGGAAGAGATAGCTGAACAGAAATTAATGAAAGAAAAATCGTGGTTTTCAAAGTCTGTGGTTTGCAGAGTTACCTTTGACTTCAGCACTATAACCATTAGGAGTGATTGCTGTCATCAACAGGAAAACAGCTGCATCCGACAGTCTGCAAAGGGCACTTTCTCATCTGGACTCCAGTCACTTAGAATTCAGTAGCACTATATCATATATTACATTTCCATTTATTTAAACTTATTTTATTTAAGCTTCCATAAAGCTTTTTATGACAAATAATTAAGCCTATATTGTAAGACTGGGATTTTTTTGGGGGGGGAGGTGGGGTGCGGGAGGGTTGACTCCTGAAATAGTCTATTTCCATTGCTTCAGTAAATTGTAATCTAATATTTAATTTTAAGCCAATCCCACAGTATCATGGGACACAATACAGCAAAATCTGTAGCTTAACACGTTTCAGATTCAGCTGTTAATCAGTCCCTCTATTCCATAACAAGTAGAAACTTTAATAAGTTGTGACATTCACACCTGAAAACTACAAAATGAAGACAAAGCACCCCAGAAATGATTTTCAGTTCAGTCCTACATGATCCAAAACAACCAATCTCCAAAATGAAATCACATTTAAGACATGTATTTGTCACAGCAAAGACATCTACATACGTGATTTATCAGAAGTGATGCTAAAAGTGGATATAAATACTCCAGCTGACCCAACACAGCACACCAGCAGTGGAGGATTGCCAAGCTGACCTCAAGTGCATTCCTCTGAACACAACATACATCCTGTACCTCTGCCACTTCCCTCTAGAGCAGCAGCTGGCTGCTAGAAACACCTATGTTTCCTATGCAATGGAGAGAATGTTCAATATTTGATTCTAAAAGGGAAAATTCATCCATTTTGTTTTCAGAAAGACCTTGAACAACAGCAACGATATAGCTGAAAGAGATTCTAGTCACAATTATTTAGCCTATGAGGACACTGTGGGCCACAAGAAGCCTTACAGTCTTCCTCAGTGATCTCTCTGGAAAGCTGAGGGATTATGATGCTTAGATTTGGAAGCAGAAAGATTTGAGAAGTTCTTTGAGGATATACAGGAAGCCTATGTGTTAAGGGCAGTACATGATGATAAACATTTGCTTTTTACTCTATCCTCTTTGACAGCAAGGATCTCTGCTGGATGCTGATTTGGGAAGGCAACCAACCTCTAACCCAAAATAAGCAAAATTGTTATGTGTGTTCAGAGGAATGCTTCTGTGTGCACACTATGGTCTCTCCTGTTTCCAGGAATATAACAGAATAATAGCTATGTTTGATTATATTCAAAAAGCTTTTATTTTTAAATAAACAACCAAAGTCAATGAGTACTTTGGAGTTGGACTTTGCTGCTCGTACACTACATCACAGCAAAGGGAGAAAGCTTCAGAAATTCTGGAAACAGTAGCTTAGCAGTATTTTACCCTCATCTATTCAATATCCAGTTTCAGTAGAAAACTTTTTTTTCCCTAGCCAATAGGAAAAAAAGTGCTAACTCCTTGAAACAGGAAAATTAGATAACAAAACTGTAATTCCTCCAGTCCAATCCATAATTTGGCTCAGATTTGCAGGCAAGAAAGCAGAAGAGGAGCTGCTAGAGAACGCTGACATGCACATAAACACTGAAGGTTTTTAGTGTTAGAGAATACTGGGGGGCAGGGTGCTGGCGGTGAGGCTGTTCGGCTGGTTGGTTTGAAGTCTTATCAACAAGCCAGGCCCTGCAGAGTTATTATTAATCATGATCAAATCACATCAGGTTGTCAACATCTGATTGCCCTTACATTTGTACATTCTGTACATGTCCCTCTGAATTAAAATGGTAAAATATTAATCAGCAGTGGCAGCCCACAAGATATTTTCATGCAGCAAAAGTCAAATAAAGTGGAAATTACTTACAGAGCTAAACAAGAACAAAAGCTCCCTAAGTTTGCTTTGTGCCAAAATCTTCATGCTATCCATATTATTATTCAGCCAATGCACGCTGGAATTTTTTTTCTAAAATTTCTTTTAAATAAAAAGTGTTTAAATGAGCAATGCCATAAAATGGGGTGGGGGGGGGGGAAATAAAAATAAAAACCAGAATGCACACCTACACACAAAAAAGGATACACACTTTTTTAATTTGGGTCTCTTCCCTTTACTGCAGATTCTCAGCAGCTGCCCAGCATTTTGCCAAGTCCGTGGCCACATGCACCCGTGACTCTGACTCACCATTTTAGACTGCAAACACTGCTACTTGAGTTGCTTCCTAATCTTTTTATGGTTTAGGGCATCCTCATTATGACTCTGAAATGAGTTGCACACAGAAAGACATACTCTGTGGTATACACTTACACCTTTAAAAACTAAAAATAACAGAAGGATTTACAAACCACAAAAAAAGAAAAAAAACCCCTCAAACAAACAAACAAACACCCTACCAAACAACAGTTCAGTTTTGCCTTCTCCAAGGATTTCTTTGACCTCTTCTGCACAGGGCTTGAACATCTTCATTGACTTGCAACATGTCCAAGACATTCATCAGAATATTTTGTTAAGACTTTCTGTCAACTACCATGACTGACATGAGACTGTGGGGAGGGAGTGAAGGTGGGGGTGGAAATTATGACTTTTTACCTCTTCCAGAACTGAAACTATTGATATGAATGATTACATTCTCATAAGACTTTCAAAGCAGATGCATGAAGCTGGGAAATCAATTCAAAATCAAGGAAATAAATACTCAGCTACAACAGACATGTATTTGCTGTCTTACCTTGAGGAATACGTTTTTGCAAGATTTGGATCCTAGAGCTCATTATCACCTTATCTGTTGTTTTTTAATGTACCTGAACTCTTAGAAGGAAAAATGAAAAATGAGTATTCAAGAATGAATTCTATCATAAGGTCATAGTTCCTTCAGGACAGAAGCTCACAGTAACTTTAAAAATGAGGAAGATGACTCAAGATACAATATCACATATTATATACTCAATGATAATATAACTTAAGGTCTTGCAGCTAGAGAATATAACTTAAGTTCTTTCAGCTATGGAGCTGAACTAGAGGAAGCAGGAATCATGACCAAAATAAGATTTCTTTTGCTATCCAAGACAACGCAGATTGTGCATTTTTTTTTTTCTCCTTTGGGAGGAAAACCACTACTTTATTTGCCTTACAAAGAATAGCAACCAACAAGAAAGGTTATTTCAGCAGGCCCATGCTCTGGACCATTTATATTTCCAGTTAAACAGCCAGGCATCTAAACTCTTAGAGGAACATTTGCAGACCACAACAGGCAAGCAAGTGTTGTCAGACTCCCTCTGGATCAAGCTACACTTCTTGCTGTCTCAACTCATGCAGTAGTTCAGTTTTGGAGGAATCACAGAAAGGTTTGAGTTGGAAGAAACCTTAAAAACCACCCAGTTCCAGCCTCCTGCCATGGGCATCAGAGGTGTGATTGCTGTCACCTTCCACCACAGCAGACGGATCAGAGCCCCATCCAACCCAGCCTTGAATGCTTCCAGGGATGGGGCATCCACAGCTTCTCTGGGCAACCTTCTCCAGTGTCTCTCCACTCTCACAGTAAAGAATCTCCTCTTAATATGCCCCTAAACTGGAGGCAATACTCCAGATGTAGTCTGACCACTTACAGGCTCACTTTCCATGACACAACACAGCTGGTGCATAAATTATTGTCTCATAAGCTCCCCATATCTGCATTGCTCTCTAAACACCAGCTTCTGCTATTGCACAGAGATTTTTCCATCAGGGACTGTAAAACATTTTTGCCCATAATTAACTGCATGGAAGTTCAATCCATTCATCCACTTCATCAATCCATTTTTCCAGTCTGAAAAAGTCCTTCTGGAAAGCATCCCTACCCTACCCATATCAGCTGGTCCCTCTTCACATAACATCATCCCCAAACTTGCTGCAGATGCTCTGCTTTCCCTTGTCCAGGTAGTTCACAGCAGTATGGAACAGTATCAATGTCAGGGGTTAACCCAGGAAATAGGAATTCCTTTTCTTTCCCTGTCTGCCATTTGGCTGGCCTATCAACTGACCAGTGTCTTCTAAAGGAATACTAAAAGAGCTTTGGGAGCCAAACCACCTCCAGAATCACTGTCCGACCGTGTTGTCCATACCCAAAGGGCAACATTCCCTAAATATAAGTACAACAGCATAAGGTGGCTCCTCCTCTAAGCTCAAATACCAGTCTACCTCCAGGCAAATTGCTTTGCTTAGAGCATAATTTAAAGTACAAGAATCTGATCAGTAACTGTTAGTCACTATCTGTCTTCATCTGCTATGTTTCAAGTGTTTTAAGTTCTTCCCTGTCCTGAAGTGTTTGTGTACATGACAGAAAGAAAGCATAAACAAAGAAAGAGACAAGAAGAACTTTGCAAAGCTGTTCTGGTGGGTTTCTTTCCCAAGGGTCCTTTGAAGAGCTTTTGAGTTCAGTAACTTCATAGAACAGAAAGAATGTTTACATTTTTGGCATATTAAGGCATGGCACAACTATTTGTATAAAAATAAATTGATATAATAAATGTCAGAGTAACATGTTCGGTTTGGGTTCTTTGGCTTTTATTCAGAGAGGGTCAGGGATTAGGAAAATATAATAGCAATATCAATTTATCATTATTCACAGAGAAAAAGTTTGCAGATAATTTTCATAGATGAAGTGCAGCACCACCTTGGAACTTAGCTAAAGTCATATGCAAACTGGTGACACATATGGTGCCTCAGGGAATTTAGAAACTAACAAAAGCACAACTGCTAAAATATCCCTTCAAACAATGCAGTTCATATCATGGAAAAAAACTAATTTGGACTCTTTTTCACTCATCTAGAATTTTTACTTTTGGCTGACCATTAAATCTTGCACAGTTTATTTAGGATGGAGAGGAATAGCTTACATGATTACTCTGGGCAATAGAGAGATTAAGTTTAGATGAGAGGTTACGTTTAGACAAGAGATCATAGACTATCAAGAAGACACCATTGAAAACATGTAAAATTAGTTTTAAAAGCCTTTCCATTCAGAAAGGTGGCTTCACCTTCTAGGAGATAAATGAGCTCCATTAGAAACTATGATACCTTACTCCTTTTCAAAGAAGAAAATTGACTCTCACCACTGTGTCCTCACTTTCAAGTGCAAAACCAATTTAGAGATATCTGCATTTGTCACAGAGACACTTTGAAAGAAAAGAAAAAATGAAACAAAACCAAAACCAAACAAATAGAAAACTATTAATGAAGAAATGTGGGAAATACGGTAATCCAAACAACGATGGAATTATGATGATATCCTGCATGAAGAACTTAAAACATAGAAATTCCTATGGTAAGCTACTGAGTTGCTTCAAGAAAACTAAGTTCAAAATCTTTGTCTCTGCAATAAATTTTTTCTTCAACATATTCCTTCATCAGTTCTCTGTGCAGACTTCTGTGTGCATAACCCCAGCATTAATAATCCCACTGACTATGAACATAGGAGGAGGAAACAACAATTAATTACTTGAGGCTGTGCAGATATTTATAAGGCAAGAAAAATGAACATGCAGTTCTTGATGGCACCCATGGTGTTTTTAGGCAGTTGCATGTGAGAGAAAAAAAATAAAGGGCCTCAGGAATCAAAATAAAAATCAGACTTTGTTCTAATATGGGACAGAGGAAACTGCTTTCCCATTAGAGGACAAATAAATATCACCAACTGCCTGACACAAAAGGGAAGAGGAAAACAACAGGAAAACTTGTCAGCTGGGGAAAGCGGTAATCAGCTGCCAGGGATCATGTTAGGGCTGCAGTTGCTTGTCTTTGCCAAGTTTAAAGAGTTAGCTGTTCTAAAAGTATATTTGAAAAATGCCACTAGGGAGTTTAGATACTGACCTTGTATGGAAAAATTCCACTGAGAAGACAGCAAATTTCCAGGATCCCGGGAATTTTGTTAAAAGTCATCTCATGATTTCCCAGGTTCAGCATCAAAAGAGCTATTCCAAAAATGCAACCAATGTTGCTTTTTTCCCCGCTCACATCCCTACCCACAGGGCTGCCAGTCTCCCATGTGCCTGTCTGGATTTAGTTCTGTACATCCCACTCCAAAGGGAACAACTTCTAGACTGAGAATGTTGCTACTACTATATCATCACTAATCTATTTTTACTGGCTGATGCATGGGGCTTCTGGGAAGACAGCAGATATAACATTTCTCTCGGTATTTTAAGATTATTCATGTACAGGGCTCTCAGCAATACTATTTGTTGATATTTTAGAGAAACACTGTTAATAAGCTCACAAGTATTTTAGGACTTAAGAGGCCTAAATCTAGTAAAAAAACCCAACCAAACAAAAAAATTCAAGAAGAAAGCAACAAGGTTTTCCTCATATAACAGTGTGCTTGAAACTAAACTACTTTTTTCAGATATTTTAAAGTAGTTTTAAGAGAAAAGTCTGTATGGCACAGCACTGATACCAAGAGACATGAAGCATGATCAAACCACCATTGCGATATTTCTGAGAGTTTAACAGAAACCCCCTCAAACAGGTAATGAAGGAAGAAGTGATGTAAAGGTGCACAAAACAACAAAAAAAGTGATTCATTATATAACATCTGCACTTAGGTTTCAAACACATCACAGAGTATCAGCTGGAAAAAGCATAGAAAAGACAGATGCAGGAAGAAACCCAGATCCATAAGCACAGTGTCACATCCTTTAACACCCCCACAATCAGCTGACATTTATTTTAACCCCTCAAGACAACCAGGAAACATTTATTCCAGATTACAAACTTTTAGCCAGAAATTCTGCTACCCTTTCTCTTGAATAGAAGCAACCAAATGACCTAAAATTCACCACTTTTGAGGGACGAAGCAGATGCAATTTTTTTCCTCTGTAGCAACAAGGTTGAGTAGTACCCCATGTGTGTGGGGAGCTACTTGGCACTGAAAGAGATAATTTGCCAAAAGACTAGATGGCTATCATCAGGTACTGTTATAAAAGCTTAAACAGCTATGTAGCATGCATGACAAAAAGTAGAAGCCACTGGAAACCACAAACATTATACTAAACAAAGGGCAGAATTCTACTGGAACCTGACAGATGATTACTTTGTAGTGTTCCCCTCCACCATTATCCCAACAGCAGCAATGCAATCATGGTTATTGTATTTCACTGCTGTTTCAGAGCAATCAGCATGGATGTTACTTTTAGTGACAGATAAATCTCTAAGGCAGTATAAACTTCCTGATGAAAAAGTAGCCAGCCAACCACTTACTGTCCTATTTATGGAACAAACTGCTCCATGAAACAGGAACCTCAATATCCTACTTCAGTCTCAAAAGTCTTATCAAGGGACACAGAAGGAGAGAGAAAAACTAAAGACAGGACACCAAAGAAGCTTTCCATATGTACAGAGTGGCTTGACTACATTCAAGCGAAATTTAAATTTAAAAAAAAATTTAATTAACAATCACACTGCAAAAGTCAGTTAGAAAGTGTCTTCTTAACAAAATGTGTGTTTCTTAGCCCATCCTGTCCACTGCACTAGTACATATACAACAATGACATTTGAAAGTTCAAGTGTCAAGATGTGTAAAAGTGCAAAGAAAGTTTATCAAATTTACAATTATCTGTCAGATATTGTACCTTCCGGAGGTATGAAGATAAAAATACGTTTCTGGAATGCATTCAAAAGAAGGATAGAAGTTTTAAAAATAAACCTAACTGCAGACACTGACACCTGCTCACCAGTTTCATTTTGACTATTTGACAGACATAAAATACTAATGAGGAACACTTACTTTTTCTTTGATGTTTTAAATTTTTGTTTAAAAACGGACACAAGTTTCACAAAAACACCCAAGCTATTCTCTGAGATATCTCAGTGATCACTGGGAACCTTCACTACATAAGGCCTGCATTTCATTAAATTTGATTCTCACTGCAGTTACAGTGAGGAGTATCACAGCCTTTATGTTCCACATCTTACAGTTGTAGTGCAGACTGATTAAAAAAAATAAGATAGAATTATCATGAGCTATTTCTAGGCAATGTCAGGATCCTAAAGACAAAAATTCACAGGAAGATCACATATCAAGGCAGTAGAGAAAAGAGCATAGGGTTAGGACTTCTTGAACTGTGGCAGATATCTCAAATAAAAGAATGTCCAAGAGACCAGGAGAGAACAGAAACTTTTGAGCCAGAAAGTGCCCTGAACAAAGCTATGTATGGCCAGCTCAAATCACTGAGGAACTCTGATGGAAAGAAGAAATAACAGTAAAAAAGAGCTCATGACAGAACCAGCTAAGCAAACAACTTTCCAGAACAGGTGTCTCTGGGAGAACCCAAGAGACATCAGCTGCACAGGAGCAGCCCTCACTCCTGCACGTCAGCCTCCCCTGCTGAGGAAGGGCTCAGCCACACCTGAGGCTGAGCATGGAAACGGAGAGATAGCGAGTCTAAAACCCAAACTTGTCATATATCCTCACTGTGTGTAAATTGCAGTTCTCTGGCTGTAGTTGGCTTGGTTTGTCTTGGTTGCTTTAGACATACATGAAGCAGCTTAGGAAGAAGGAAAGGTTGATTTTTTCAAATGTGCGACAGACAACACTTCAGCTAGAAACAGTAAGTGCAGAAGTCACCTTTGCTTTTGGTTTTTTGGACTTACAAAACCAAAACTGGATTCTCCTTCCCCAGCCTGGCTTCTGTAAAATTTACAGAACTGAAATGAGCAACATTAATGTACTTTCTTCCAAGCAAACATTTTCCATTGAAAATGCTATTTCATACACATAACATCAGTTCTTTACACTGTGTTCCCAGATCTGCTACAAGGATACAAATGCCTTGTTTAAATAATCATTTTCTTTCCTCCTTGCTTCAAACCACACACAGCTCCAACAAGAGAGAAGAACTTCATGGTTCCAGCAAGACAGCAGAGAGGAAATATCTAAATAAGGCTTTTCACCTGTCAAAAAGTACAGGTAGACCAATGTAGCTCATTCTTTAGCCATAGATTTGTGCTTTGAAGTTATGCTTTTCCAAACAAGACCCCATCTACACTTCAAATACAGTGAGCAGATTTACTCTCAAAAAAAAAAAAAAAAGAGAAAAAGTGGAAAAATAAGTCTGAACAGCAGCATTCAGTTTTGGTGGTGCTCAGTGTACTCAAAAGCTTGACTTCCTACCCTTTTTACTCTCCCCAGATGTACCAGAAAGACACTGCCTTTCCTATGGCTCTGGCTGAAATCTTAACCCCCTATCTTTGAGCACAGAAGTGGTATTTGAAGTAGGCTCCACATTCAGGTCCCACCACACTGAGTTTAGTGCAAAAAATGTAAAAGACTGAACACCAGTACATAAATCATCTACAAAGAAAACCATTGCTAAACAGAGGTCAATAAGTGGTTTCAATATACCACCAAGTTAAACCCACTCAGGTTTGTGTGGCCATCTTGCAAACACCATGGCAAAGAAGTTTTAAATGTCCATTGGATTAGGATGACAATCTAAATCCCACCACCAGCACTAGTGGTCTGTCAATGACCATCCTGCAACTCCTAAGTTAGAGCAGTCCTGACAGAAATCACTTCCAAAAAGACTTTTCCATTACAACAGTAGTAGGATATTAAGTGTTCATTGTTCCCAATATTAATTGAGAAATAAAATATTTTCAATAACTGAAGCATTTTTTAATGAGAAAATAAGTCAATCCTTATAGGCCAGTGCAGGCTTCCTAGTGATATATTCTGGAATTGTGAACATTGTGAGCCCAGGAGTCAGCTGAAGGAAGGAAGGTTTTACTTTATGCAAAGCAGCTTTGAGTACTGTGAGATATCAGGACCTTACCCAGCATGTGTGTTGAGTGCTGTAAGAGCTTCTGAAAACAGCCTTGAACACTACCAAATCATGTTAATAACCATAAAAAGCATGATAAATTGAAGAAGCAGAATTTGGGCAGTTGGGGGGAGTCATACTTGTTTTTTCCTGCACATGGCAACATACCTACGCAGAGCAAAATTGGTTAAAACGTACTAACACTTCATAGGAGAATTCCCAAAAGTTCTCCCTTTCATTTACCTTGCTCTAAAAGAAATAAGCAGTAGCTTTCCCTTTTCATGGGAAAATGAGCAGCTCTCCATTTTTGGTATTTTCTTCTGTAATTGTGGAACTAAATAGCATAGCAGAGACCTCAGTGACACGTTCTTCATCTTAAGGCAGATTTAGAATAGCCTTGAAAGAAATGCCATGCAAAGACTCATTTTCTAATAGAGCCCCCTTTTTCCATCTTTGATCCTCACAAACTCGCTCTGACAGCTACAATACAGAAGGGGTCACCACCACAAGCTGGCTATTCTGATCACCTCCGAGAAACTGGCATCCCAGGAAAGAGGCAGGAAAACAGTTCATGGGAACAGCACATATAACAGAGTGAACAAAATGGAAATTCAAGGGCAGTGACATGCCTGGCTATTGCATAGCCATGTCATACAGTTAATGGAATTACGTGGCAGCAGTCTTTCCCAGAGAAGTAAATCACTGAAACATTTCTGAAGCGTGTCTGCCAAACACCTCATATTTCATTTATTATCCTTTCACAGCAGCAAGTTGCTCACCAACTAAATTTCCCTCATTTGAGATAGGCATAAACCCTTCAGACTGATCTATTTAACAAAAATGAAAGTCACCTTTAAAAAATAGGGAAATTGTTCATAAAAGGTCTCTATTGGAGCTTGTAAATCCCACCAAAGCCCCTTGTAATTGCACACACACATTATGTACCCATACACCTTGCAGTCCCAAGCATCTTTCATTTTTCCTGAACTATTTCCAGCACTTTTTGGAAAAGAGATTATTTATTCTTAAAGAAAGCATGTCCATTACTGCATGGATGAGCAGAGTGCCTGCTGCAGCAGGTCAATAAGGCACTGCAGGAAGGGCAGCGCTGCTCTGCTCCCCCTTCAAAGACAGATCACAAGCACTGCCTTCATTAACAAGTATTGACTACCCTCTCTAATTACTGCATTCTAAACCTGGCGTTTTCACTGCAGCACAAACCTCAGCTGTCCACAGAAGCCATTTG